GCAGAGAGAAGAGGAGGGGAGGAGGAGAAAGGGGAGCAAGAGAAAGAGAGGAGAGGGAAGAGAAGAGGGGAAAGAAAAGGAGACAGAGAAAAGGGCATTAGAGCAAAGAAAGAAACACAAGAAAAAAGATTCACAGAGGACTGCTGTGCTACTTAAGCTCCCAGGAGAAGAAGAGGCCAGGAGACCGGGAAAGGAAATGGAGGGTGTAAATGCCACTTTGGGGAATAACCCATTAGAAAGGGATTTCCTTTCTCTTCTGCAACTGCTAGAAGGGTTCTCTATCGTGACTGAAACAGCAAGGCCAAAGTCTCCAGCTGACCATCAGCTTATTTCTAACAGAAGGTCCCTTCAGGGCAAATCATGGAGCAGCATGGGTCAGGATAATAAGCAGTTAATAAACCGCAAGCGGCTGGGCACTGTTACCACAAAGCCTGTTTGGAGCCTCCAGAGGCCCAATATAGGCATTTCTAGTTTGGCAAAGATTAAAACTGAAAACTGCTGAGACTGCCAGGGCCAACCAGGTTCATGCAGTGATGCTTTTTCCTGGGGTTTATTCAGAGTTCTGAATTCCATCTTTGGCATCCCTCTACAGCCTTGATTCAAACAAGTAGTCAGAAAAGTTCACCCAGCACACAGTTTGGTCCATGATAAATGGTAAGCAGTTGCCTGCTGATCTTTTTCGCTATAAAAGGAGAGAAATCCAGGACACCCTTTCTCATGAGAAAGAGCTGGCCATCTTTCCCCCTTAGGAGCAAGCATGCAAAACTACGGTGAAGGCTTTGGCAACGCCTGTACACTCTGGTCTAGTTCTCTAAGTAAAAAACTGACATTCCTGCCTCTCCCCAGAGTTACTGGTCTGCTTATAAATTCTACTCCTATTTCAAGGCCCTGTTCTAAGCTGCCTCTTCCAGCAAGGTTTCCTAGAGTTTTCTCATCAGGGTCCCGCACTTCTACAGCAAGTATGTGATTCACTCAAAGTCTTCATATTCTACTCTCAATGGAAAACTAGTTATTGACAGTCTTCTTATCCATACTAGATTCCTAGGCTCCTAATGGGAGAGGGGGTGTATTTTGATTCTTTTGAAATCCCTTTGAGACCTTGGAGTAAAGGGCATTCTACTGCCAGTTTTTGAGGAGTTAAATTTGGAGTTATCACAATTAGAGGACAAATCGTTTAGACTCAAGTACACAGAGCAGCCCTCATTAGTCAGTTCCTTTTGCTATCGCTTTGTAAATGAGCTGCAGCCCCAAATAGTGCCTAGAAGGTGTTTCAGAAGAGTGGCTTTCTACTGAAAAATGTAAGGAGTCTGTTGGTCTTAGCAACATTCCCGTATGTATACATCCCCAGGCACACACCCTGCCAAGATGAAGACTGAGCTCCTCTACTCTATCTACACTCGATTGACAGACAGCAACTGATCATCACATGCCAAGTGTCAGAATGAATAGATTATTAAGAATTGAGTCCTACCACCCTCTCATTAGATTGGGTAACATGTTTTCAAACCTTCTGAATCTATACCACCATCTTGAGAAACATAAAAATATCACACCCTTCTATTTGGTTTGTTAGTAACCCAACATAAAATTATAAGACTCTGTTCATTTCTACATGAAACTAAATATAGATTCTGAATATATAGCCGATCAAATTCCTCGAACCAGACCCTCAACTGCATCTCCCTTCAGCTCCACTGCTTTATGGGTTTAAATAATTTTAGGGTACCCAGGAAACACACATTACATCAATATCAGGGTTTTGCACTTCCTTCCAGAAAAGCTAGCTAAAATCTCAATTCAATCAAAAAATCTTAGTCATTCCCACAGTTAAGAATAACAATGTATTCCATTTGCAACTATGTGGATGGAACTAGAGGGTATTATGGTAAGTGAAATTAGTCAGAGAAAGACACATATCATATGACTTCACTCATAAGAGGAATTTGAGATACAAAACAGATGACCATAAGGGAAGGGAAGCAAAAATAATACAAAAACAAGGAGGGGGACAAAACATAGAGACTCTTAAATACAGAGAACAAACTGAGGGTTGCTGGAGGGGTTGTGGGTGGGGGGATGGGCTAAATGGGTGAGGGCTTTAAGGAAGACATTTGTTGGGATGAGCACTGGGTGTTATACACAGGGGATGAATCACTGGAATCTACTCCTGAAATCATTATTGTACTATATGCTAACTAACTTGGATGTAAATTAAAAATAAATAAAATAAAAAAGAATAACAAGGTATAAAAGCACTCTAGATAAATACTTAAAGAAAACGAAATGAAAAGCAAGGCCCAGAAACTACCAGTAGATGATGTGGCCTCTTATGGCCTCAAACATAATATCCCATAATTTCTCCCCATTGGAAACACCTTCCTGAGAACTGGGGTTCCTGACTAAACTAGAACTGAATAAAGGATAAACCTACACATTTAGGAGAAAGAGACTTGCAAAGGTTAAACACTAAGGAAATAAAGTCTTTCTCCTCTTCCATAAAATATGCTATCCCTACCCTCCCCACCCCCACAAAAATAACTGAAATTTTAAAAACAAAGTTTTGATCAAAGAAAGAACACAAACGGCTTAGACGTCTCAAGATGCAAAGAACCATTTGGCACAGATCCATGTTAAGGACTTCCAATCCGCCTTCTAACAGAATCTGTACAATGAAAGCCCAAGCTCCATCGCAGAAGGAAAAACCTGTTAACTATATGAGCACTTCCATTTGTCTTAATTTTGTCACGTAGCCTGCCACTGTTTTTCATAGTTCATCCGTGCAATCGAGCAAATGTGACTTAGCAGCAGCCAGAACATCTCCTTCTACTGCAGCTGGATGACAAGAGCATCAGGAGCAGGAAAGACATACCCCAGAGGTGAGCCTCGAAAAAAAAGCCTGTGATGGCCAAGGCCATAGGGCAAACATGACAAGCAGAGACAATCTCATTATCTGTTGTCCAAATCCCTCCTCCAGGGTAGGTGAGAATAATCTTTTTCTCCACCACTGGTCAAAGCAGGACGCACGTTTTTCAAAGACACCATATACTTGGCTTTGAAATGTCCCTGGCTTAATCCAAAACCCACTGTGTGTGAAGGCCCTGTGGGTGCCTGCCCATTACATCACCATATCAGGTCGGGCTGGCCCCGAAGCTATTAGCAGGAGGGAGGTACGGGATTTCAGAACACCAAGGAAACCGTTTTTTTTTTTTTTTTTTTTTTTTTTTTTTTTTTTTTTTTAATATGGGCATAAAAAATATGGAGGCGGGAAGGTGGGAGGCGGAATCTGTGATATCTGACGCAAGCTGCCTGAAGCAGTCAAGAGCCCAAGTATTCCTCCAGGCTAAATCACGGTTGTGATGCTTTCTTGCACCTGAGCCAGGGAACAAAAGTTATGCCCACTTGCCAGCAACTCTATGTGGCTGCAGGAGGACACACCCACTTGCCAACCTACAAGCCTCCATCTAATTATAATCTTCCCCATCCTTCGGCGTCCATCCTTAACCCAAAGCTCCAGGAACGTCCTGGCAGCCCAGCTCATCGTCCCCTCCTGATGCGCCTCCCTGCCCCCAAATCCCCTCCCGGCGATCACAGCCACGTCCCCGGCACCTCCAGCACCTGGCTATGTCATTTAGAACCCTAGCCCTCAACGCCCCTTCGCCTTCTTCCTTTTGCGACTCCTCGGCCCCTCGTCAGACCTACCGCGGTGAGAGCCCCAGGGCCCCTGGCAGGGGAGTCCCCTCACGGCCCTGCTCGCGGCGCCCCTTCCTCTCGGGCCGGGTCCATACCTCCTCCCCACCCGAACCAAGCAGGACCTCCTACGGGCCTAGTCAAGGACACCGCCTCGGCCCGGCCCTCACCTCGCCCGCCCGCAGCGCCGCAGCAACTTAGCTCTCTTCCGCGCGGGGCACTCACCCAAACGTGACCTCCGGGTGGTGGTCGTGGACAGGGAGCGAGCCACGAAAGGGCAGTACGCGGGGCCTCCCCTCCACCACCAGCTTTATAGCCGCCGACCCACCCGACTCCGGCAAGGCCGGCAGTCGGTGGGAGGCTGGGCAGTGGTTCCAGCAGCCAATCGTGGCCCACAGAGTAGCCCGGCAGCGCCCGCCCCCCAGCCCGGCTTCTACCAATCCGAAGAAAACTAGAGGCGGGATCTTGCTAGGGTTTTCCCTCGTGGCTGGAAGGGCGGGGGAAGGGGCGGGGATAAAGTTGGAGGGCCGAGGAAGTGGGGTGAGAGAGTGACGTGGGGTGGCCCGAGAGCCGGCCTGCCAATTACAGAGCGGCGAGAGACAGCGAGAGCCAACAGGAACGGAGTGAGAGGTTCTCCGACCAATGGGAGTTTAGTGAGAGGAGACGGGAGCCAATGAGGTCTCCGCGTCCCACCACTGGGGAGAGATGGTCAAGTGTGGGAGGCAAGTTGGTCCCCACTTGGGACTGTGTCAGGTTGCCTAGCAACAGATCTGGGTTTCACCTGTAAGATTTCTGAAATACTTATTTTGAATTCAATCTTAACGTTTTCTAGTTTCCAGAGAAGCCAAGCACGCCTACGTTACAAGTTGTAACAGGGTATCACTCAGAATTTGTAAATGTGTAAATATTCTAAACACCCGATTTGTGAGTACCTAATACCTCTATTCAAAACTACCTTGACTTAATTTTAAGAGACTGCTATTGGTACAATTCTTCCTAAGGAAACTGGAACAAAGTTTGGGGTTAGACACCAGTGAGGACGCCAGTGACTTCCTGGCCTGAGCAGGGAAGTTGATCACGATTGTAGGAGTTTTGGTAGCCCACGCACTCTGAGGAAAGGAGCTCCATCTGACCCCACTGTACCTTCTGAGCTTGATATGTGGTAGATGCCAAATAAAAGGTTGTTGAAAGAAGGAAGGGCCCCATAATTGCCGGTGTAGCGAATCTATGGGATATAAACTACCTAACTAACCCAGAAAAGAGAAAGGAGCAAGAGAGGAGCAAGCTGGAGGAAATCGCCGGGAACACCATTTGGGAGAATCCAAAGGAGGATAATTATGGCCTTAAATTAGACTCTGCCCCATCTCCTCCTCAGACTGAGAATCTGTAAACTTTGCTTTGGTGGGGGACCCTGAGAGTTGTTCGTATCCCTCCCCCTCTGTTTCGTTGAGACCCAGGAATGCTGCTAATACGTGGTCATTGATGATTCTGTGCATCGCACAACTACTGTTATATGAAATTTATTATCCACTATAGATATTAACCTAGTAAAAGACATTCTCAACAGCGAAGTGGCAAAATATACTGGCAATGGAACCACTGTGAACTGGTGGCATAAATTACTTGGGGGGAACAGGCCACTCAATGGCTGTCACTCCATAGTATTGCCCAATTCATACACTCAAAAAGTAGATGTTAAAGAGAGACAAAAATTGGCTGGTTGTGATCCCAAACCCTTGATTGGCCGGGGATTAAACATTCTTGGCATAGAATGCATTGAAAAGCAGTAAAGACAACCAGAAGAAAGAAGATACAGCTTTATTCTTAGAAAGGGAGAGCAAATAGTTCCAACTCCGGGAGTTCACAGTAGGATATGATTAGCCAGATAGTCGTGAGAATGATCATCTTGCACAACAGGAAATTCCCACAAGGCACAGATTGTCTTTTTGATCGAATTAATCTTCAGTTAAGCAAAATGAGCACAGTTATTGATAACTGGGAAGCTAAGCAATAAACCATGAAATGGGTTAATAATTAGATACAGAGCATCTTAATTGAATTTTTAAGAACAAGCCTCAGAGATTCTGTGAAACATAATAGATAATACCAAGCTACACAAATATTAGCTCTGGCCCATGCAGTTGAGGACAAAATATACATATATTTATCTCGGAAGGGGCTGCAAGTTTTTTTTGAGTTACGATTTTATACAAGCATAGTCAAGTCAACGTCATACTTGAATGTGCATTTTTAAGACATTAAGATCTATGTTTCCTTATAGTTTCTAAGTTGAATGCTAAGTCATGTTGGTCAAGCACTATAGATGCTACACATCAAAGGCAAAATATAGTTTATTGTTCGGCCCTGCTTTGAAAGGAACAAAAATTTTATTAGAGGCAGGAAGATGTTATGATAGCATTTAGTATTATAAATTCACCCATTGGACAAACACTTACTTTTTTACTTGCTCTGCAGCAGGGATTGTGCCCGGCCTATGCTGTCCAATAAAACAAGGATTAGCTGTATGTGGCTCTTGAGTACTTGAAAAGTGGCTAGCACAAAGTGAGAGAAGTGTAAATTACATCCCCGATTTTAAAGACTTGGTACAAAAACAGAGGAGGGTAGGGCGCTCAGCCATGCCCATGGGTCCTCATACTGGCCTCCCTGTGCTCACAGGAACCCGGGCTCACCTCTGCACAGTCCTAAGGCTCATCATGGCTTTCATTGGATGCCCTACCAGCAGTCCTACAGCAGACTTCTGCTAGAGGCTCCCTCAGCCCCTTTTGCAGCACAGCCCCTCAACATGGTCAGTTTCAGCTCTTCTGTGCTCTGCGCAAGGTGAGGAGTTTCTGTACTGCTTCCACACAACTCGGGACCTGTCCCTACCTGACAGCACAATGACACTAGTTCACCTCCACTGCTGCACTCCACAGTAGGCTTGTGGTGCCCAGGGATATAGTCTCCTCTCTCCAGAACCATCGCCTACCCCCTTCCCAAAATTTCTTAATGGGAACTTGATTGAAAACCCTACTGACTTAGCACTTTTACCCCCACAAACAGGTGGTGTTTCCAACACAACTCCTCTCTAGGGTTTTATCTCTTGCCTTTCCTCTTTCCCACCTTACCCCTGAAAGGGTTGCTACTGTGTGAGGACGCATGACAGGTATTTCTTAAATAACACAATTAGTAATCACAACATAGTTCAAGCGTTATACAAAGAAGCATGCCCAAAGGACACTGGAGGTTCAGAGGAGGAGGACCTAACTCATCCTGGTGGCAAAGGAAGGCTTTCCAGAGCAAGTGGTATTTGTCCATTTATCACATTCAGAGATCTTTATTGAACACTAGAGTGTGCCAGGCACTGTTCTAGGCTCAAGGGTTCATTGTGGCACACAAGACAGACACAGTTTCTGATCCAGTCAAGCTTAGTGGAGGAAAACCAAACATTATGTAGGAAAAAGAATAAGTTGATGTCTCTTCAGGCAGGGATCATACCGTGAAGAAAAGAATGCAGTGGAGTAATGAAACAAGAAAATGCCTGTTGGGTGGACAGGTCCATGAGGTGGAGAGGAAGAACCTCTCTCTAGCTCTGGAGTCAGAGGGATGCCGAGTGAAAGGGCCAGGAAGGGCAAAGGTTTGCCCAGTTGAAGAATAGAAAACAAAAGGCCCATGTGTCTGAGCTGAGTTTTGGAGGAGTGACAGGAGATATCTGGGTCGTGGACCAGGGAGGGGGCATCATTTCAGGGAAAGGGAACCATCAACTGTATAATGTGGGAACTGCAACTTCAATCAAGAGTGATAGCCTAAGTCCAAGTGGTGGTGAGTTCCAGTAAAATTTCCCTCGTGCTGGGTTTTTCAGGTAAAAGGAGTGTTAAGAGAGCAAGAGTATGATATTTTTTCCATATAATTTGGGAGGCAAGGGAGTGAGTTCAATGGAATGTTCTTCCTACAGTGTGAGGTTAATCTACTTGAGGTTAATCTACTTCTCACTTGTCAACATTTGTAGTAAGGGTTTATTGAGTGTATAGTGTTTTTCAGAGATTATAATATGTGTATTGTATACACTATCCCTCTAATTCACCACTGTGTAAAACCCAATTTACAAACGAGGAGAATGAGGTGCAGAGAAGTTAGGTAACTTGTTTCAAGTTACTCAATTAAAAAGTAGCAAAAATGGAATTCAAATCCAGGTCTTGTGATGTCAAAACCCATGTTCCTTCTACTATTGTGTATACAGAAACACAGTTGTGTTCAAAGAGGGTAGACTGGGGTGGGGTGGTAGATGTCGAGTAAGGCAATGTAGGTAACTTCTCCCAAGAGGCTTCAGAGGACAGCACCGAGTACCCTGGGGACTCTTTTGGTGCCTGGCTCCTGGGCTCAGCAGACGTCTTCTATCAGCCTGCTAAGAACAAGTCCGTCTCTGAGGGGTGCACTACATTGACCACGTTTATGATGCATAAATCAGAATGCCAGTTCACTACTGATAGTACAAAAGGGACCCCAGCCCTCAAAGTCCGCATGACTCACCCTCTAGGTTAACCAACACGGGAGGTCGTGTCATCCTTGGACATTGACTGTACACATGGAATTGGGAAGAAAATTAGAAACACAGCTCTTTCAAGCTCCTCTTCCCATCAGGTTACAGTGACATGACGTATCCATTTTTCAATAGGACGGTCTTCCAAATAGGAATGAAGATATGCCAAGGCCACGAAACTACCAATGAACTTCGCCCATGCCACTTGAAGACTGGCTTTGCCAATGGCTCAAGAACACTGGATACACAATCCACTCCTAATCTCTTCTGTGACCCATTCTTAATTGGGCATAGTTTGCGTTTGTATCTGTGACTTCTTTTTTATGAAGCCATGACTGACCATCTCTACTTCCCATTCTGTTCCCTAAACAAGTCAGTACAATCAATCAGGTTAAAGTCTAGTCTTACTGCCTGAGTAACATTTGGTTTCTTTGAAGTGACGTTTTCTATCTCTGCTTCAGTATGTGTCAACTTCTTAAAGGTTATTCTTCAGCGGATGACCCAGTTTCCGGGTCCTTAGGGGGTACCTCACCGAAGACTCCACCTCCTGAAAACACATATTGCCCTCACTGTCCCTCACAGTAGTGTATGGAAGGAATATGTTAAGATAGTGTCCAGCTCACAGATAGCCTGAGTTACTCAATGTGAGTCACCCTAGATTTGGAGCACCCAGGCCGGCACTGAGCATTGGGGCCCAAAGCTGAGAAATAAAGACGCACTAAATAC